ACATATTCTGAAATCATGATATGTTTCGTTTTTAGCAAACAGATGATGCCTTTATTTCAGTTTTAGCAAAGTATTAATAAACACGTCTTGGCTTCTTCGTTCTTTAGGAAGACAGAAACAAAGATATCCTAGCAAATATTAAAAATCATTAATGCAGCGGGGTCCTGATTTGTAGCGATTACCAGTTTCTGTGATGAAAATACTCCTAGTGCACCTAATTTCAAGTTTGAATCACTGACCTCAAATCTAGGTCAGATGCTAAGCTCTTACAAGGCAGGAGGAATGGGCTCCAACACACCAGTGGATAGGAAGAAATATCAATTGCTTGCCAGAATGCCTTGCAAATCTATTGCCAAGGAATGGTTTTTAGTTACACAAAGGCTACTCGGACTTGCATCATTGTAAAAGCAAGCTTAGGACCAAAATTATTGTGGTGGTAAAGGGAAGTGGTGTGAAGAATATCTTCATTGTATTTGCACAACAGACAGATTCCTCTGGGACTCAGGCGCAGACTTGCCCTAACTAGGAGCCCGGGACATGTGAGTGTAGAGTCCGGGAGCTCAGGAAGAGAATGCAGGTCCTCAAAGCCCGAGCAGCCTCCTAGAGAACTCGGTCAAAGCCTGACGGCAAATATTCTGTCTCATCTTGGCAAATCACTTCATTCCTCTGCATCTACATCCCCACTTCTCTGAAGGAAAGTTAAGGGCTAGTCGGGACTAAATAGAAAAAATAATCACCAGCCTTCCATTCCAGGTCTTCCACACAGGATTCTCTGACACAACAGGAACCTAAGTGGGAACCTAGTTTTAAGTGATGTTGCTTCCAAAAATATTATGAATGAGAATTAGAACTGGAAAACCATGGAAACAAGAAAGAAGGGCAGGCTTCTTGTTCCTACCTGGATGATGTGCAAAGAGCTGCAGTCCCTGTTCTTTCATAAAAGGACATTTTTGAAACAGGAGATTACTGGATCCAGAATACACGAAGGTCCACACAGCCTTTCTTTTCATCTGCACTTAGATGAAATGTGCCCATTTGGACAAGGCTTTCACCTGAACCAGAAATGTCCCTACGAGGCCCTTCTCTTCACTGTGGACAGTATCTGTGACATGATTATGTGATGGGGGTTTTCACTATAATATCTTTATACCAACATTTAATTCAACTTAGTTTGAACATACGAGGAACTATCTGATTGTCATGTTGAACAGTAAACCAGGGTATGGGAAGTTTGTTTGTCATCTGTGCCAAGGTCATGTGTTTATGAAAGCAAACAAGAATGTTCATTGTTAGTGGCCTATGTGTAAAAAATGGAGTTTCTGATAAGCACCTCTAAGAACAATGTGTATGTATCTTCTGTGGTGTTTCAAGCACAAAAGCATTTCATCAGCTAGGAAGATCTTGTAGTGAAAGATAAATAAAGAAGCATGCATTTCATCGTTGTCAGCATTAAAGAGAGAACTTAGCTACTGTCTTATTTGGAACTATTGCTAGCAACCTCGTTTTGTTTCTCTAGAATATACAACACAAATTGAGCGTGCTTAATCCAAAAATCTGAAATCTGAAGTGCTGCCTGCCAAATTTGAAACTTTGAGTGACAAGAAGATGCTACAAATTAAAAATTCCACACCTGACTTCATGTGGCAAGTAGCAGTCAGAATGCAGGCTCACTTAAACTGTCATATTAAAACAACTTCAGGACCACACTTGCAAGATGTATATGAAATACAAAGGATTTCCATGTTTAGACTTGGGCTACATCTCCAGGAAAGCCCATTACCTCCACACAAATATTCCAATATGAGGAAACAAAATCCTTAATCTAAAACATTTCTTGTTTCAAATGTGTATTTCAAATAAGGGATACTCAAACTGTATAGGGGAGGACTCATAGCATCAGAAGCAAATACTTAAAAGATAATTTAGATTCTAAATATATATGGTCATGAACCAGTGAAAGTGATTTAGAAGTCTGGGGACAGAGAGAATTCCCTAAACTTCATAAAGACATTCTTGGAGAGCTGAATGATATCCTTAAGTTATTACTGTTCAGTGTATCTGTCATCATTTCAACTGACAATAAATTATAGACTATTTATCATACCTTCCTCCCTCACACGATATTCTGAACTATATTATTCCCATATTCCTTGAATCTCAAATATTCTTTCTTTATCTGCTGGTTCTCTTACAGCCACTGGAAAATTAACAGGCACATTTATGCACACATACGACATTGGGAGGTGGTGGCAAGATCAGTGCAAAGTGAATAAAGCCTCTAGGTTCAAGTCCCAGCACCAGTTGAAATCAGCTGTGTGACCCTGGACAAGTGACTTATCCTGTGTGTCCATGCAAATAAAGCAAAAGAGATGGCATACAACTGCTAGTATTCTATAAATCATAGCTCTTATCATATATTTAACTCTTCAGTTGAATCTATTAAATCTTATCATGCACATATATACATGCATGAATCACGCTATACAGATATATATAGATAGATTGTATGACTTGTGTTTTGCTTCAGTTAAAACTAAACCTAAGCTATCTTCCCTGAGCACGGATGGTAGTAGTTGTAAGAGGTGGTTCTCAAGTGTGACATGACACAAGCAGGGATGTTCCTGGATTAAAACCCATCTACTAAAGGGATAATCTTCATGCAGATGATCAAGTTGTTTTACACATTCTATGAAGTGATGTCGCATAGGCCCTTAAGTAGATATTTTTCACCCAAACATAAGAGTGCTAAGAGGTAACTTACTAGAGATTGTGGTCAAATAGCATTGATTGATTGGCAGCTTCCTTCTCCCTGGCCATTCTACAGATGTCCATTTCTCCTAAAAATATGTGAGGGACACAGTGCCTCTACAATACTTTTAGCAATCGGGCATCTTGCCTACACCCAGGATAACAGAACCACTCTAGAGTACTTCTGCGTTTCTGGAAATGTGTGTCTCTAACTATGATAAGTTTAATGGGAGTCTATCTGTGTTGAAGTCTAGCTGGGAGGAGGAGTTTTCTTTGATCCATCTAATGAATTAATGAATTAAACAGAGGTAGAGTTCAGAAGCCAGGCTCCCTACTTTGCTGAAGCAGGGCTGATTATGAATTGGTGTAACTGCTGGAAAAATGCAGCTTGGAACTAGAAGAATTAGGGACATGGCCCACTCCATTCATCTTCCTTAATAGAGTTCTTGGGAAATACACATGTAGATTAGCCCCTAACAATGACCCCCGGCTGATTGCTTGGAGTACCCTCCACCATGCCCACAATGGTATTGACTGGCTCTTTATGTCCTGCACAAAAGCTCCCCCTGTTCCCCTCTGCCTGGCTGGCCCTCTGTGGCTGTTGGAGTCTTTTCTGTTTTTCTCCCAAGACCCTGAAATAAACAGTAAATAAAAGTTCACCTCACCTGGACCTATTAGGAAGAGAGCTAGGCAGTTCCAGAGGGAATTAACTTTGGAAAACAAGGCCATAAACTCCTTAGCATTGTGTAGGCAGGAGCTTAAGACAACACTGCCAATCTTCTAGCAATGATTATAGAGATCAGTTTAATATTGGGGAAGTTTACATTAAAAGCATTCTCAGAAAGAAAGCAACAAATGCCAATTAATTATCCCTCCAGCTGTCTCTGGTCACCTCAGCCCCTCAAACCACCTGGTTCATGAAACTGGCATTAAAGTCTGCCCAAGGTGCCCCCAGGCCACTTGCAGGGGCAGTGCCCTGGACAGCACCCCAGGCAGCCCATCGAGGCAGGTTTCATCTGGTCTTTGGGGAGCTCCCTAGCATCTTGCAACCCTCTTCAGCCAGCAGTCCTGGAGGCCGCTCTCTAGGCACTTCTCTTGGGAGAGCTGCACTGTGCCACTTCATAGATATAGAATGCAGAGGTCCCCCAGGGACTGCAGGCTAAGATGTGCTCTGATTCAGTTTCAGAAAACATCACACTCTACAATAGCAATTACTACTGAGCTGCAACGAGAAAGCATGGGACAAGACCAGAATTCATTCCTTAATGGTTGTACTTTGAGCCTCAGTTTCTCCTTCACGCAAATGGAAACCAACAGATTCTTGCTCACTTCAAAAAGCTGTGAGGATCAGATGATATTGTAAAGCGTCTTGGAAACTGGACAGTGTGATTAATTTGCATTTACTTAGCTTTTGCTTCAAGTTAAATATTTTGACCTGAGTCATTCAATTTCCATCCATTTCACACTCATGTTTGTAATTTTAGTTTACCTTTTAATACTTTTCTTTAAAAAGAACTGTTAGTATACTGAGCCACTCATTATCCGAGGAGGTGTATTTTCCCATTTATTTCTATGTCTTGTCTTTCAGACTAGACGTTCAACTCTTCTAGGCCAGCTCACTGGCCTTTCCTCTATTATGTGCTGCCCATGACCTCTCCCAGGAAAATGCTGAGCAAACAGGAGGGATAGTAAGCCTACACTGGATGTAGACAGGAAGAAACAAATAAGAGGGATAAAGAAGAAGCACTTCAGTTGGGGAGCCAGGAGCCTACCAAAAGAATTTGGGATTGTGGTTCTCCATGTCCTCAGGCTTCTAAGGGAAAGCGTTTTTTTTTTTTTTTTTTTTTTTTTAAGTTTTTTTTTTTAATTTTATTTAAGGAGAAAACAAAAAAAAAAGCAGGGAAAGGGTACAAGTTATACAGATTTACAGAAAAAAAATGAACAGTAGGAAATCACTAGTTAATGGATTACATATTGTCATCTTAGAAATAATTGTTCAAGTCGTTTTAATTCACAAGAGGCCGGGCATTCTCTTTGGATCTTGGCCTCGGATTTGAAGGATGCAGTGGTCACAGTGCCGCGGTCCATCAGCACCACGGGATGTGAAAAACACGCTTGCCCTCGCAAATCATCTTTCTGCTCAGCCTTTGAGTGCTCTGGGTCATGAAAGCCTCAAGGCTTCTCTCCCCCGTGGGGGGAGAAACGCAAGCGGATTACTCGGTAACCAGGGGGAAGTGTGAGGCCTTCTGCCTCGGGAAGGTCTTCCTCAGCTTTGGGTCATCTCCTTGGCTTGGGGAAATGTTGGGGGAGGGGGCAGGAGACGTCCTCCACTCCAGCGAAGGACCCTGTCCTTCCTGCAAGGCAGTCCGCGGGAGGCAGAGCCTGAGTCCTGCAGCGTGTGGGACCCCCAGCACTTGAGTGCACTTAGAACCCAGGGCACAGATGGCCCCACCGCCTCCTGGGGATCGCGCTGCACTGAAGGAAGCTGCCTGCGCGCAAGTCCCAGGGTACAGAGAGAAGTTAAAACAGATTTAGACAGCCAAAAAGAAACCCGTTGTCTAGGCCTTCGGCCGTGGAGACCAGAGAGGCGTCCCGTGGGGGTGGGAAAGAGGGAGAGAAGGGGGAGTCCACACCGGGAGGAGCGTGGGCTGACTTCCCACTAGGAAGCTGGGAAGGAGTTGGGGAGCCTGGTTGGGTCTCCAGGATTCCAAGGGGCGCTGGGCGCACCGAGGTGAGCTGGGGAGGAGGGGTGAGCTCGGGCTGAGTTTAACACGGATCTAGAGGTGGGAGGTGGGATGTCCCCAGTGCTGGCCTCAGGGTGGCTGGGTAGGACCCCGAGGCCCCGCGGGAGGAAGACCCGCCCTCTACGTGGGGAGGAGCCTAGAAAAGGGGATGGGTCCTGGTGGAGAGAGGAGGATCCCCGTACCCAAGGGCTCCGGGCCGTTAGCGCCGGGAGCCACAACTGCTCTGCCGAAATTGCACCTCCTGCAGGGACCAAGTGGCGTGGGCCGAGCGCTCGCTCACCCCCAGCGCGCGCAGCCTGGTCGGGTGGCCCGCGGAGCTTGACCTTGGGGAAAACCGGTCGTCTGGTTGCGCAGTTTCAAGAAGTCCGACTACCTTGACGTACACTTGGAAAGAGCCGGCTTCGAGCCTCTTCTAGCGCCAAAGCGCCCGCCCACCCTGGCGATCCCCATGCACCTGCCGGGCTGCGCGCCTGCCATGACCGAGGGCAGCTTCTCGCTCGCTGGCCACTTGCTCCGCAGCCCGGGTGGCAGCACCTCGCGGCTGCACAGCATCGAGGCCATCCTGGGGTTTACGAAGGACGATGGGATCCTCGGCACCTTCCCGGTGGAGCGGGGCGCCAGGGGCGCAAAGGAGAGGGAGAGAAGGCTGGGTGCGCGGCCCGCCTGCCCCAAAGCCCCCGGGGGAGGCGAGGAGCCCTCGCCCCCGACAGCCCCAGCGTCCGCCCCGGAGTACGAAGGTGAGTGTGTGCTCCCCGCTGCCGCGAGGCCCTTGAAAATAACGCTCCCCTACTAACTTTTACCACTAAGTCAACTGGGCAAGGGGCTGGCGGAAGCGTGCAACTGGGGCTCAGGGAAGGCTTGTGCTCACCCTGCAGCTTCCATTCCTGACCTCCCGAGGCCAACTCTTAGCCTCAGGGGCGCTGGCTAGGGACCACAGGGGACAGCGTCGGCCCAGTACCTCTGACCCGGGGGGCCTCGTCGCCCCAGTCTCTCGCCCCTATTGCCCCAAGGACCCCGGAGAGGCACGTCCGAGCCCAGGGCTCCCTGTCGGGCCAGCTGCGGGAGACGCTAAGCTGTCGGAGGAGGAGCAGCCCAAAAAGAAACACCGGAGGAACCGCACGACTTTCACCACCTACCAACTGCACGAGCTGGAGCGCGCGTTCGAGAAGTCTCACTACCCCGATGTATACAGCCGCGAGGAACTGGCGGGCAAAGTCAACCTACCCGAGGTCCGCGTGCAGGTAAAGCGCCTGGATGGAGGGAAGGGAACTTTGAGAATGCCCGAGGCCTAAAATGCAGTCAGCGTCCCTCTGAATTCACCGGCGTCCTTGAATTTACTGTGGTACATCCTGGGCTTGTCCCGAGCATAGCTCCAAAGAAGCATCACAGAGGTTCCCCACTCCCCACCCTTTGGAGAATTTATAGTATGATTCAGTCCTTAAAGAGGGTGCTGAGCAGAAAGGAAATTTAGGTATAGGCTGGAGGGTCACTGTATTCTTCCATCCAGAGGCCACCGGCCTCACTAGCTCCACGCACAATACTAAAAACAAAAGCCCAGTCTAAAGACAGGAGCTTGGCCTTTTGCAGTTGAAACTCTTCTTAGATTTATTTAAGAAACTTAACTTTCCTTCCCTGGTTTCCATCCAACCAAATTTCGCGGTGCGGAGGCCTTTTATTTTTATTGTAAAGGGGTTTTCACTTTAATTAAAGCTGAATTATCTTTAATCCCTGATCATTAAAATATTTGAAAGCCTTAAATATTTGCTAGTCATCTGTGAAAAATCTGGGAGGATTTCCAAATTGGGAGAGTTTACAGGGGACTGAAAGGGAGACACTGAGAACACATTTCAGTGCATCTGGAAGGCAGTGGAACTCAAACGGGATTTTGTGTGTGTGTGTCTGCTAAATTAGGTTTCCAGGAAGTGAGGACACTCAGGTGTTTGGACACATTTAGCTGTGACTTAAATGTAAAATGGGGCAAGCTCTTGCCTTTTGTGTCTTCTGTTCAGGTTAAGGGTTGAAATTAATGAGCAAAAGTCATGGTTTAAACAACATAGTTCCCTGATGTGACTTGAGATTAACTAACTAGCAAGGACAGTTCATTTCTCCAAATTCGAAGCAATGACGTGACAAATGATTGCACTGAAGTAGAGGAAACTTTAGCACCTGCTTTCTAGGGAAGGAGGAAGGCAAGGGAGAGGGGAAAATAAAGAGAAAGATGAAGAAAGGCCAAGGCAAAGACCTGCAGGGCCCAGGAGGATGCGGGCCCTTCCTACCTGGGCCCACCTCTTCAGGCCTCTTCATTTATTCAGGGGTCTGGCTTTGCCTCTAAATTGTGAAATTCTTGAGAAAAGTGCCTGAGACTGCTCCATCACCACAGGAGCAGCACAGTGTCTTAACACAGGAGTACAATGCTGTGGGGGACGAGGTGGGCTGTCTTCTGCCAGGGCAGCAGGAGCACTATAGCAGCCAATTGTCTCTCGCTTCAGCCCTGACACCTTGGATATTGTATCTGAGGGCCAGAGCTGAGAAAGCTGGGGACAGAGAGGGAAAGGCAGGTACACCCCTGGGACAGGAGCCTGCACCCATGTCTTCTTCCTTTTTTTTTTTTTTTTTTTTTTACTCTCAATACACACCTAAATCTGTCCTGGTGGCTTAGAGTCTTGGCTATGCAGATAAACTTTTTGTGGGAAACAGGCAGGAATACTTACACTTTTGTTCTTTTTTTTTTCCCCCTCCCAAATTGGAGCTCTGCTGAGGAGCAGGGTTACTATTTTCTTACTTACCCTGCAGGGCTGCCCCCTATTTCCCTTACTGACACAAAACTAATTTCTCCTTTCTGGGCTTGCAACTACCCCCACCCTGTCCCTTCAGAAATGTAACACGGAAGCCACCAGATGTGCCAAAATTCTTTCATGTTCTTGTCACCTAACCCAGTTCCTTCTGTCCTGCTTGTAAGGATGGAACTTGGGGATGAAACGCTTCTTATACTTACATTTCTGGCCCTTTTATCAAATCAGTAGTGAAAGATGCATTGGAAGACACTCGTAAAGTCTTGACAAGGACTCCTCTGTGAAGAAGAAAAACCCCTTGCATCCTCATTGAGCTAATGCCTAGGATAATGTCAAAAATAACTCCACAAAGTAAAACTAAATATAACAATCCCTAAGGATGATAATCTTTCAACGTAACTTATGAACAGAATCATAAATATTAAACAAATATCAATTAAGTGAGATAAACAACTTATTGAAACAGCAATTGAAATACATATATGGTAAAATAAGCCCATGTGTTTCTATTTAGCTATTATAATCAATAATTCCTGGAAATGGCTTATCTTAGTCTGATCTTGCCAGTATTTATACCTATCTGTATGTCAGAGGAAAAGGGTGGATAGATAACACGGGGATAATCGGAGACCAAAATGCAGTCTGAGGAAGGAACCAAACCCTGAAGGGTCAGGGGGGGCTGCCCACGAGCCGGTCGCCTGTTTCAAGGTCCTATGGTCTGTGGCAGAGCTAAATTCACTTTTCCCCTAAGCACCTGCTCCTGTCAGGAGGTGGAAACATGTAATAGCAGCCCAGGGTGAGAGAAACAGGGGAGAGGGTGGGGACGCCTAGGAAGAGAGGATGGGACAAAGAGACTGGGGGAGGCGAGAAAGGAGAAAAGAAACAGAAGGGAGAAAACGTGATGGATAAGAAACAGAGTGGCAGGAAAGACTGAGGTGAGGGGGAGCCCAGGGAGTGAAAGAAAGGCAGGTCTGAGCCTCTTGCTGTTGAGGAATAGATTTCCATGGGGGTGTCAAACGGGCCGGACTTTCCTGGTACAGGCACCGGGGCGCAGCGCCAGCCTCCGCTGCAACCCTGGCCTCCGTTGCAGTCCCAGCCTCCCCTGCAGCCCCGGGCTCCCCTGCAGCCCCGGGATCCCCTGCAGCCCCGACCTCCGCAGCAGTCCCGGCCTCCCCTGCAGCCCCAGCCTCTGCTGCAGCCCCAGCCTCCGCTGCAGCCCCAGCCCCCGATGCAGCCCCGGCCTCCCCTGCAGCCCGGCCTCCCCTGCAGCCCCGGCCTCCGCTGCAGCCCCTGGATCCCCTGCAGCCCCGGCCTCCGCTGCATCCTCAGCCTCCGCTGCAGCCCCAGCCTCCCCTGCATTCCCGGGCTCCCCTGCAGCCCCGGCCTTCGCTGCAGCCCCGGCCTCCCCTGCAGCCCCGGCCTCCGCTGCAGCCCCAGCCCCCGATGCAGCCCCAGCCTCTGCTGCAGCCCCAGCCTCCCCTGCAGCCCCGGCCTCCGCAGCAGCCCCAGCCTCCGCTGCAGCCCCAGCCTCCCCTGCAGCCCCGGCCTCCGCTGCAGCCCCGGCCTCCGCTGCAGCCCGGCCTCCCCTGCAGCCCCGGCCTCCGCTGCAGCCCCGGCCTCCCCTACAATCCCAGCCTCCCCTGCAGCCCCGGCCTCCGCTGCAGCCCGACGGTCGCTGTGCTTCCCTCGCAGGTGTGGTTCCAGAACCGACGGGCCAAGTGGCGGCGCCAAGAGAAACTGGAGGTGTCGTCCATGAAGCTGCAGGACTCGCCCCTCCTCTCCTTCAGCCGCTCCCCGCCCTCCGCGGCGCTGGCGCCCCTGGGCGCGGGCCCGGGCGGCGGCGGCGGGCCTCCGGGGGGCGCCCTGCCGCTGGAGTCGTGGCTCGGGCCGCCGCTGCCCGGAGGGGGCGCCACGGCGCTGCAGAGCCTGCCGGGCTTCGGGCCGCCGGCGCAGAGCCTGCCCGCCAGCTACACCCCGCCGCCCCCGCCGCCGCCGCCGCCGCCGCCCTTCCTGAGCTCCCCGCCGCTGGGCCCCGGCCTGCAGCCGCTCGGGCCCCCGCCGCCCGCCTACCCGTGCGGCCCCGGCTTCGGGGACAAGTTCCCGCTGGACGAGGCGGACCCGCGCAACAGCAGCATCGCCGCGCTGCGCCTGAAAGCCAAGGAGCACATCCAGGCCATCGGGAAGCCGTGGCCGGCGCTCTAGGGCCCCGGGAGCGTGCAGGGCGGGAGGCGACCCGAGCAGCCGCGCGCACCGTGCGCCCCGCTCTCCCCGGACCTCGCCCTCGGTGCTCTCCGCGCCCCGCCCGCGCATCAGGACTCGGCTGCTCCCGCCCGACTCAAGGGACAAAGCCAAGCCTCGGGCTCGTGGAGGACCCCAGGTCACCACTACGGACCCCCAGCCTTGCTGCTGGTGGGGAAGACATTGTTGGGATCCCGCTACCCCTACCCACGCTGGCGCCTGCGCCTCCCAACCCAGGGGGGCCCCGTCTCCCCAACATCGGCATTTCCCGTGGAAGGGGCATCAGAAAAATAGAGTTCGAGAAACTAAGTAGGTTCTAAGTATTTGGAAGGAGAATTAAATATTTGCTTCTTTGCATTTGATTGTGGTTAAGCGCTGTCAGGGTTGCAGGGCAGAAGTAAATGGGGTACGGGATACTCGGTGATGGACTCGGTGGGTCAAGGAATTAAGAGAATCACATGAGAACTCGGGGTCCCTTGTGCTGCAAATCCTGGGTACATTTGCCGCAGCAGAGCACAGTCCCCATTCTGGGACGCAGTCTCACCCTTCCTGAGCTCGTGCTTGGGGGCGCATAAGGTCTAAAGCTTAGGTGCCCGCGCGTTCCCATTTCTTCCTTACTCCAATAACGGCAGCAGTCGCTACTTTGACTCCAATAGAAAGCGTCTACACCACTTTCCCAGAGCATCCTAAGGTTCCAAAAGACCCTGCTCTGCTTTTTCTAGTCTGCTTGCCCCTATGGGCCTCTCTCAGATCATTTTGCTGGCTACTGGACTTGCTTAGTAGCCTCAATGACATTGGTTCTCCCGAGGACTGAAGCAGGGCGACTCTTTCTGAAGCCTGAGCTTCTCCATGGCTCCCCAGCTGGCACATCACCTTCCAACCTAGAGGTCTGTGCGTTGGCTGCCTGCAGCGCTCAACAGCTTCTAGGGCTATGAGCTGCAGCCCAGGGCGCCTAGTGTCAGTATCCTCATTTGCGGGGTGGGGATGGGATGCTGTGGCTTTGGTTCAGGAAAGAAATCTGAGACTTTCAGATGACTTTCAGGTACTTAGCAGTGTAGCAGCGGAGTGTCAGGCGAAGTCCAGGATTCCTGCCTGAAGGCCACTGTGCGTGCCATTGGCACTGGAACTGAGCACCTGCCCTTCTGCCCTGCCTGAAGCATGGAACCCCATATGGTTGTGGCCAAAGCCTTAACAGGGAATGTTGTTAGTGCAAGAGTAATGCTCTCTAGGTCCCTTTCCTGAAAGGATGTGCCTGATGTGGGTAAGAAAGATGGAATAAGATCACCTAAAGTTTTGTGTAAACTGCCAAGGACCGCACGAAAACTAATACACATAACTTGGAATCCTGGCGATGTTCCTGGCTGTTGTTCAGTTCCTGAAACTTATTTGGGAAATGAATGGTTATCTTGGGGCTGGGAGTAGGAGGACTGTCATCATGGATCCAGTCTTTGTCCTTTGGGTCATGAGAGGCTACTATGAGCCAAGGCTGGGTACCTAAAGGCCTCCATCTGATGCCCTGCACAGAGCAGGTGGTCAGTAAGGATTTACTGAACAGGTTATTTGTCCTGAGAGGGAGAGTGTAATATCTGCACTTTCCCTCACAAGTCTCCATGGAGAAACCAATGGAATGGCCTAAGTGATCCTAGGTCTTAGCAAGTAAAGAAAAACTAGCATAGGGTAAAGATATATGCAAATTTCTCCCAATTTGACCTACCTTCTGTGTCTTTTACTTCATTCTTTAATGTCCTACTTTTAAGAGGGATGATTGCTCTGGGGACTCTTAAATTCACTGGCCCCAGATAAGCACATGTGCTCAGCCCTCCTTCTCCTTACTACAGTCCTGGCTCCTGTGACAGTGCCCTTCCCACCAACAGCATTTTCCTCCTTTTCCATGGAGCATTTCCATAGTTACTCTACCTGTCTTTTCCCCTTCTTTTCTTTTTTAGTGAAATAAGGAAAGCCTGTGTAGTAACAGCTCCTGAGCATGCACCATGAGCATGAACTGGCTGGAACTTCTGTTTATTCCAGCTCCCGCACTTACAGAGTAAACTGTGGCAAGCTCTCCCTGCCTTAGTTCCCTAATTTATAAAACGAGACCAATAGCAGCCCTCGTAGGGTTGCTATGAGGTTTAACTAAGCAAATATAAACCTCTTAGAAGAGTGCAGCATCCACACACCAAGCCTTCAAACATCAGTAGCTTTTAGTATTTTTTGATCACTTTCCAAGGACTTGTCTTTGAAATACAAGTGAGGCTCACTGTTTTAGCTTAGACGGACTTAGAAGAATATTTATTCTCTTATAAAACTAAACAGGAGGAGGAAGTGGTAGAAAAGGTGTCTATGAAAAAATGAACAGAAAACCAGCAGTGCGAGACGCTAGGTTCTTATTAGATTCCTAAGAAGAGCTCATCAAGCCATGCTGGGCAGTGGGACTGGAGGTGTGAGTGCTGCCTCTAGGGAGATGTAGACGCACTCCTCCCTGTTCAGTCCTACAGCTCTAGGGGTTGGAGATTCACTGCCGACCTGGGAACTCAGGAGCTGGCAGGACCGGGATTCTGTAGACTCCGGTTGTCAGGATAGCGGCTTGCGGCTTTCGGAGAATGACCTGGGAGCTCTTTAACACGTGGTGCGACTGCTCAAGCTCAAGGCCACAAAGTGGGGAGAGGGCTCCCACAGCTAGTCTGCTACCTCTGGTGTGGGACAGTCACAAAGTTCTCTGTGAGCCAGAAGGGAAAACCTTCCCGGGTAAGCTTATATCACTTTCTCATGAATCACGTCCACTGGTTCTTAGTTCTTTCGTAATGAGGTTTCGGATTTGGCTCAAGCGACGCCAAATATCCACCAAAGAGAAGCAAGAATCAGCTGGGATGGTCTTACGGAGGTCAGGAAAAGGTGCTGCGCTGTTCCAAGCCCATCAAACGCCAATCTAACAGAAAAGCCCAGGCGATCCCTCTCTCCGAGGATGAGGACGCCTCGGGCCACCAGCCCGAGGGAAGAAGGAAGCGCGAAGCAAGTGAGTCTGCTGTCCCGATGAGGTTGGGCGGGGGCCTTTGGGAGCGGGGGCGGGGCATAGAGAACGCGTCGGATTGGACGGCTGCGGGAGGAGGGCGGAGTCAGGAGAGAAAGCAAGGCTGGGTGAGCCACGGAAAGGAGGAGCTACGGACCCAGCGTCGGGCTCCGCCCACCCTCGAGGCGGGACGCGATTGGCTGCGGCGTCTCCGCCTGCACAACAGGACTGCATCTATTCAGTGAACCGCGGCACGCTTTTTCTACTGGGGTCGCTGCTCAGTTTCTCCTCCTGCAAACGTGGGACTGTCCTTCGGCTCTCGGGTCTTCTGAGCCTTGGGGTCTGCCGAGGTCCCCTCTGCGGGTCCTGGGGTCTGCGCCGCGGCCCCCGGCTGGTTCCGGCTCTCGGAACCGAGTCCAGCCCGCGGAAGCCCGAGCTCCCACCGGAGCGGAAGGAGGGCACGGGGAGAGACCCTTCGGGAGGGCCTGGCTTCTGCCTGACCTCAGTCTCTGATCTGGAGCCGCCCGCCGCATTTCTGTTAAAAGATATTTGCAGGGTTAGGAGGGAGGTTTTGTACCCAGCCCACCCCGCTCCTATCTGCAGTCTGGCGAAGGGAGGGTAGGAGTGGCAGAGCCTCTCTAATTAGTCGGGTACGGAGACTACGGATCCCTGGCGCGCGGGGTAGGCGCCCTCATCCAGCCCCACAGTGTCACCCCGGCTCCTAACCCCATTTTCAGCCTGGTGCAGCCTGCTTCTTGGGCCCCATTCCAAGCTCTCCTTTTTAGATTCTTATCAAGAATGGAATCCAGGCCTCCAGCTGGAAGACAGGAAAGACTTTCAGGGGAGATGATGTGAACTTAAAGTTCTGGCAGCTCCTCTGGATTCAAACCCACCTGAGAAAGCCCGGTGCCTGCTGCGCCAGGCCGGCATGCAGGACCCTTCCGGAGGCCCGCGGTGTGCCAGTGATGTCCTCCTAATTGGGGACTGGCTCTAATCATGTGGCCTCAGCTTGTTAACTGTAGAACAGTGGACAGAGTTAATGACTCATTAGTGATTAATTCCTTAACTGTGTCATAATTGCTCACTGTAAAATGCCTTTCTTAAAATTGGATTAAATCATCTAGATCCTTGGTTATGTCCCACACCATCCCTAGAGGACAGGGAGACTACTGTTGCCTACCGAGTTGAGCAGGCCGCTTTAGTTAATGGCAGGTGCAGTGGCAACCCCTCTTCCTGGAAGTGGGGACATCTGTGATCAGGCTGTGGCAGTGACATTGCCTTGTCCTGTGACCTTATCTCCCTTTCCTTATCTGCCCACCGTGAACACCTATAATGTGGCATCTCATTTTAGAACGATTTTACTCTGCTCTGTACTTGGTGTAAAGTTAATTTGTATTTATGTTATTGGTTCTGAATGAATTGCATACAAGGATGCCTTCTTGACCAAAGCTGTCTGAGAAAACTTTTTTGTTTTTTGTCTAGCATTGGCTGTGTTCTACTTGGCCTTGTCAATATTTTTAAGCATAACAAGCGTTTAAGCATATTTTTAAGCTTAACAAGATTCATTGCCCATATTTCCAAATGTCTGGTGGTTTTCTTCCCCTGAGAATTTCATATTTCATAGAATAGATGTGTTCAAAACAAAGCATTCTTTTATAGCTTCCTAAAAACTCCTTAAAGCTGTCCTCTCCCTCTGCACTTGTATCTACCAGTGGGTAGAAGGAGAATCATTCTTGATCTCTTGAGTCAAATGATATCCCAATATCCTTTCCTTCTCAACTTGGCTACCAAGAATAAAGACTTCTTTTGGTCCCCTTTCTCAGTAGATGTGATTAAATGATGCATTTTGGGGAAGAGAAAACAGTGCAATTCCTGAAAGGTGGGAGCAGGCTCAACTCTTGCGCTTCCCTGCAGTCTGTTGACTTAGGGTGCAGGTGTTTTGGGCCCCTGGGCACATCATAAAGCTCTGTGTTGAGGATCTTCAGAAACAGGAGAGGAGGACCCAGGTCCCTAACTCTGTGGGGCAGCATACTAGCTCTGTTTGGCTACCTGGACTTTCTATTTTACATCTAATCTTTCGGTCACTCTCAGCCAAACCTAA